TCAGTCTCTAGCTAGTTTTTCATCTTCTCTCAGCTTTTCAGAGTCTCCTTCAATTTGTTTGATATGTAATGAGGAAGGATTTTAATTGTACCTAGCAGGGGGGTTAGAAAAAACTATGTCTACTCCATCTTTCTAGAAGTGAAAGTCTCCCATTACTTTGTTTCTTTTTAAAAATTGTTTTTAACTGGGAAGGCAGCATACAATTTTCACATCAGATTCTTTCAGAAAGTTCAGCAGAATTATACAAAACTAATCATGAATTTAGTGTTAAAAAGGAAACCTTCAGACAGAGAAAATATCTCTATCTGTAATTTATTTTTTAATATCCATTTTACTTCCACTTTCCAATTTCCATCGGTTTGTTTCTTGACAAGTTTGTCTCCTTTAGGACCTGCAACATCTCTGTTTAGTAGTGAGCTTTTCTCACTTAAAAGTACTTACCGAATGACTACCACCTGGGAACATGTCAATTTCCTTCACTGATGCTCCCCTATGCCTGTCAGAAGGCCTGGCACATACTAGGACTTAATAAATAATCTGCTGAATAAGTGAATGAGAACTGGAAATTTAAATTTTTATGTAAATGAGTGCATCATCTACTTTCTTGTTTTGCTGAAGCATGGGACTTAAGTTCCAACCAAGCACTCTTTAAACATGTGCCTAGGACACTAGCAGATTTCTCCAGAATTTTGCAATCTAAAAAAAAGGCAATTTTAATTTCAGGCCCATGTGTAAATTTTTAGTTTATGGTTTAGAATTGCATTATTTTGAATTACAAATGGGAAGAACAACATGATGGTTCTCACATGTGTGTACGGGTACGTGCACATTCACTCCTATCGTTACTAAAGTAAGTCACCTGAACGACATGGCGCAAAAACAACCGCAAACCATTTTTAGTTATGTTTCCTAGATGCCTGAATCCTTTTTCAGTTTCTTTTCTATTAGACAAGTCACAGTTTGATTATCTTTGAAAGTCATTGTTATGTATTGTGTGGCGTATGTGTTTATACATGGAAAAGGGGCAACATTAATCCATCATTTTGGGAAGGCACTGAATATAATGTTAAGTTTTTTGCAAACGTAATCATACTTTAGATATTCTCCAATTATTGCAACGTTTTTAAAAAACAAGGTTAAAGGACATGGTTCTTTTTAGTGCCACTCAGTATGCTGTTTCAGTACTAATAATGCTTGCTTTCCTGCTTGGCTTTAAATTCTGCTTAAGGAAATTGTGAAAAATTGAATTCACTCTACTTTGGTTAGAAAGTGTAGAAATGTTCGTACATGGGAACTTTCACTGCCTGCTAGAATGGAAATTCATTGGGGAGGGGGTACCATGTCGTTTTACTACCTAAGAGCTGTTGACACAGTCCCTGCATCTTTCAAAGGCATCTTTCATGCCACACGGGCAAACTGTAGCCAGCGAAGAAACAGAAAGAGCCCTTCTCACATATGTCAATCTCAAAAAACTTGCACAGCAGCTGTGCTAGGTACTGATGAGGATTACTACAGACCCAGTTGCAGGGTTTTATGTGGCTAAAGAGACAACTGGCTTTCTCAGGGGAACACTTTGTTGGAGATTGCAGCTTAGTGCATCCCCACTGTTGCTGGAAGACGTTGTGACCATGTAGTACAAAATCACTGCCAGATAAAATCAGAAAGTAGCAAAAAGCAAGAAGAAAAACTCAGAGTTTTTTTAAATCTTAAAGTGAGAGACGAAAACAAATGTTCTGGGCTTGTTTCATTCACTTGTAAGGAAAAGGAGACAGATGAAGGGATGCCTTTAACTCAGAAAACTTGAAGGGCTTTCAGTCTTTTCATTTGAGAACCATTTGGGTGTGTTGAGAAAAAAAGTTGCAGAGTAGGCATGTTCAGACCTTTATTTGCTACATTTGGTAGGAAAGATTTTTTTTTCCCCCTCTTAACTACAAGAAGCCAGAGTTTTCTGTGCAAACGAAACAGGCGTTGCAAGAATCAGATTCACTTTGGACGACTCTTCACATTCCAAGTCATCATTGCGTTAGGCAGCACAATTCCATCTCTGGTTGATGGGCAGAAAAAGTGGGCAGCTTGCCAGGTAGACGTTTCCATGACTCCCAGCCCCCAAAGGTGATGTGTTTTTCAGCTAATTCAATGAAGAGTGGGCTGAACTTTGGGTCTAAACGAGACAATAGCTGCCTTCGCAGTATCAGCAGAATGGTTGATGGGAATGCACTCTACATTTGGCAGAGAATCATGTGACCTTACGACTGAGATTTTGTGATGGTGCCAACGGAGACTTGGAAAGCAGCAACCGTCCTGACTTTTTTCTTCTTTTCTAACATGGCTCAGAAAATGGTGGATCTTAATACTTGACTTTAGCCAGACTCAGCAAGCGACTGAGCTTTGAAGCACAACTTCGCCTTTATTCTGGGTTTTTGGCAGGCCACCAGGAGGCTGTCCCGTTCACGCCTGATAAATTCTGCTGCTTATCTCTAAATAGAAAAAAAAGAAAAGAAAATAATAATAGAATATTGAGGCATAACAAGTGAATTCCAAAATTGTATGTGCTTTTTTTTTTTTTTGCCTTTTCTGACTGCTGATTTTTATTTTATATTTTTTATTTATTTATTATTATTATTATTATTATTTTAGGTTACTACCGTTTCTGCTTGTAGAAGAATACAAGTAGTTGGGTCTTTTTTGGTTTTTTTGTTTTTTTTTTTTTTGGTTTAAAATGAACAGGCATTTGAACTGGGCAAGCAGAACGACAGCACCAGTGAGCATGAGATCATTGCATTGCAGCAGTGTAGCAAGCTGGCACCCTGCCTTTGCACCCCTTTGGTTCAGGAGACAAACGTGTGCAATCCTCATTTCTAAAGTCAGCACAGCCTGGAAGGATTCCTGGTCTCTCCCACCTTCTACCATTCTGCTGCCAGTGACGGCAAGGATTGGTGTAGCTTCTGCGCAGTGCTTTGTGCCTGGAATACCGAGAAGGAAGAAAAAGAAGACAAGCACCCTGGTCCTTTTCTAAGAAATTACAGGCGCCCTTGAAGAAAAAATCTGAGTGTGTCCTACTACATGCAAGAGTGCTGAAAAAAAAAAAAAAAAAAATGAGACGTTCCTGCTCAAAAACAAAAACAAAAGCAAACAAACAAAAATCCAAACCAAAACAAACCAAAAAAAAGCAAACATTGGCTGTATAACTACAGAGACATCGGGCTTTGTAAAGCAGCTTTTTAAGGCAACATAGCCAAATGAGCCTTCTTTATTTTTATTATTTCAAACAATATGGCATAATTAGCAATATATTGCACTTGGTGAAATCGCACCTTTCATATCAGGTATAACTTTTTTTGTTGTTTTTTCTTTTAAAGGCTACTGTTATATAAAAGGGGATCCTTGAACTTTCAGTTTACTCTGATGTAACTCATAGCCCACTTTACTCTTATTAACTTTTTCCTTTTCCTCTCTTGCTCTAATTTTGATTAGAATAGAAACTTAAGTAAAGATGGAAAAATCTCTATGAAAAAGACAATACATGTTTTTATGTGCGGTATACACAGAAGTTTTGGAAAGGCATTAATATATCTGTGCTTTTTGTGTCCAGTATTAGTTTTTGCTATCTAAGAAAAGTGAATGTTTAGATCTAGTGGGTAAAAAAAGTAAATCTTTAATGTGACTTATAATTTGAAATGTGAAAGAAGAAACTTTTTAAACTAGTAGAAAAGGGTTATATTAGAATATGCATTAAATTACTGATAAATCAGATTACTTTTGGGGAAGTTATATTCAAATTATTTACAGAGATTTCAGTAGAACAAATATAGGAATGAAAAGAGCATGTTCTCATTTGCTAGGTAGAAAACAAGCTTCTTTCATAATAATAAGCTCTTTTAAAATACATTTTAAAAGAAGTACTTGTCCTAGAGCGGTTGCAAAACGCATTGGAAATATCAAGTATATGAGTAGAAAAAGTACATACAAACTTGTTTTAAGTTCAGAGCAATGTATTGGCTCAGCAGATAACTGCATTGCATTGTAATTATTTTGTCTGTTTCTAGAAGTAAATTGCTAAGCAATTTAAGCATTTTATTAAAAAAACAGTTTTGCCTGGTTCAGTGTGAAAGGATTAGCAGATGCCTTCCAGCTATTTTAGTTTTGATAAAAAATGTTTCTAAACAAGTGTAAAAATAATTTTTAAAAGAGAATGCTTTTGAAAAATTTAGCATATACCAATGAAAACTATAATTTGCATACTAATAATTGATGTTATAATATTTGATAAAAATATGCTTTGATAATCTGTTATGCTTTTAAAATCATATTTTATTATATTAAAAATATGTAGGGCAAACAATGAGAAATCTAGAACTGATTAATTCTGCCTTTGTGTTTGCTATTCTATGAACAATTACAGGAAATTGCACAATCCCTATATACTGATAACATTCAAATAAAACATTTTGTTGATTATTGTTCACTAATTATTTACAAAATAGCTCTCGTTCCTCCATGCTGTCTCAGCTAATGGTACACCAACTTTCACAGGCTTAATTAATATTGATAAACCTGTTTCCATGTTTCAAGATCCTTTAGTTTAAAAACATTATTTTAAATGTTATTTTTAGCAGCCATTAATCTCTACACTCTTAATTATCTTATTAAGCTCCATGCCAAATCCAAATCTCTTTTCAGCTTTCACTTCATTGTGCAAAACCTAGTCGCTTCTTTAACAACCATCGTCCTTTCACTTTCAAAACTGTTACTGTGAAAACAACACCAACCAAAACGAACGCATAAATGCAAACTATGAAACCACTTTATATGTCATATGAGTAGCCGGGGTGGGGCCTTATGAGTCTTCTAAGCCTTTAAAAAAAAAAATACTTTAAAAGGTTTTGCCCATTTTGATATCGAGTTTTCTTCTCGATCGTCTACCCTCATTCCCACTATCCACTCAGATGCTCCTCCTAGACAGCAGTTGTCTGATATTTCTCCTTTTGTGGTTGTTTTAGGGAAAAACTTAAAATGGATATGAAAAGTGAAGAAAGTGATCATAGGAGAAAACCATTTCAGGTAAAAATAAAAAACAAAGAGCAATTAATATTTAATATTTTTAAAGAAAAACAACATTATTTGACTGTGTTTTGTTATAAGAATTCATTTCATATTCTTTATGAGTCTAGCTGTTGAAATTTTATTGATGGTTTTCATTTGAAAATGTGTGCTATGACCTGCCTTTGTGAAAAATTTCTTGTGGTCAATTGGACAGTTTGTGTCCCATTGAATATATGTCTGTGTATCCATACGCTTAAGATAGGTGCAATACGGTTTACTAGAAAGCTATTTAGGAAAAGAAAAAATTATGTTTTCTTATTTGTTGTACCATATAAAAGGAAGTGAAATCAGGAGGAGGGGAATAAGGTCATGTTTTTTCATCTTTTTTACATGACCTAATAAGACAATGAAACCAAAACATGCTTTCTTATAGTTATGGTAAAACTAAACCCAATGCTACCTCTTATTTCACATTTGCATTTATAAATATATGTTGAAATATTTTTACTACAACTGAATGTATGATTGTTGATTATTTACTGTAGTTTTTAATAATTATGAGGACAATTTAAGAATAAATAATGGTTAAAAATTATGTAGAACACATTATCTATATAAAGGCTATAAAACATTTATTTCAAAATATGCAAAATCACGAAGCAATTAGTATGTAGTATTATTTTACACAATAAAGATATAATTAGGAAATGCTAAATGATTATAGATGTGAAATGATTAATGATTGTACAACTTATCATTTTGTTGCAGTTCAGTTTAGAATCTTAAAAAATAGTGTATGTGGCTGGTTTTATGTTTACTCGTTTGTGTGTTTGCTTGTTGTCTAGTGGTTTAAAACATGTTTTAGTAATATTTTATTTTTGCCCAACCTGTTGACCAGATGAGAGTTATATGTAGCCATGTATTTTAAGTGTATCTTTTTTGAACAGTAAGTTTAAATATATTTTATTTAGGAAAGAAGATAGCCTATGTCATGTAATACATCTGGAGTGTTAGTGTGGAGTATTAGTAATCATGCCATTATCGTGCCATTTAGTCTAGTTTTATATTAACTCACTCAAATATTGTAAATTTTAGCACCATTCCAACTATAGACACAGATGTATATATTTAAGGCTGATAATAACTTCCTGTATTCTCTACCTAGTGAACAAGATCTTACTTGTTTTATGAGAAAGTTATAATGTTACCAATTCCTTGAAACCACTAACTAGACTAGTTGTATAAAAATTAAAATAAGCACAGTCTAACTCATACACAATTAACTTAATCGTTAATTTGGTTTTAATTATAGGCTCATAATACTACATTCATGCCTCACAATTACATAATTCATACATGCATGTATAGATTCCTTTTTCTTTTAAAACTCATCATCAATTAAAAGAGTTTAATTCCAAAATATTTACTCTTGAAACAAAAGCAGTTCATGAAAAATGTTTCAATAAACTACTTTTTAAATTCTCATGCATATAAATTTTTATCTAGTTTTGAATATTTATGAAGGCCTTTAATGAAGAATATGCATCCTTAGAATTCAGCATTTAAAACATTTACACTAAAGGATCAATATTATTTTTGTCTCTTGATTGCATCAGATATTTACAACAAATTTTATATTAATAGGGAGCCCATGCAAGATGTTGCCCATTGGCATAAACCCGTAGATCCGATCTTGTGGTGAAGTGGACCGCACAAGCTCGCTTCTATGGGTCTGTGTCAGTGTGGTAATCTGACAAAATGCTATACACAGTGCCGTTCAATAATAGTTCAGTAAAATCCTGTTAAACTCCAGTTGATTATATACTTTTGAAGTAATTATATTTTCCTTTGTTTTTCATGTTTATTTTAATCGTTGTCTGTCTTACAAGGCAGGCTTCAATTCTCAACAACTTGGAAGTGTTTATAGAACACCCATTCAAGTTCGATTCTATGTACAGTAAATTGCATAAGAAAGTTGAACCTTTATAGCAGGGTTTGGACCAGGATCTGAATAGATTCTGTTCAGAAACTTGAGTGCATACAGTAGTGTTTAGTGTAACTCTTCAACTTCAGTAAGAAAATTAAAGACTACCATTGGATTTCTATTATTTTATTGAGCCTATTTCTCCTGAAAAAATGAGGCTGAATGCAATTGACTTTTACTATTAATTGCTAGTAGAACTATGGCAGACGAAATGGTCAGAAGACATTTTACGTGACCTACGCTGGAAACCCAAGTGTTTAGGTTAGTCCTATGAGAAAGAGTTAAAGTTTACTGGTAAAATGTTAGAATATTATATCTATATCCTTGCCAAGCCCTTAGGTGTATGGCTGCCATATTTGGAGGAGCTGACTGAAGATATGATAAGGAGTTTGAAGCAACTTTGGAAGCTGTGTGCATCCGGGTTGAGGTAGTAGGTTGTATGGTTTAGAGTTACACCCTGGGAGTTAACTGTACAACCTTCTAGCTTTCCTTGGAGCACACTTGAGCCATCGAGGAATTCTTCATCACTTTAACCTGATCGAGCCACTTCCTGTGCAAGAAGGTAATGTGTCATGAGTATCTTGGATCATTGATTTGAGCCTTTATTACATTAAAATCATCATTTCAGCCCTATTAGATTATTCCATTTGCATCTGCTTATGAACAGTGTCAAAACGGTATTTCTAATGGGTTGTCACTCCATGTTCAAACATTTTAAGAAAATTGTGGGTAGTGACTTAAATTGCATTAATATTAAAGCTTTTAATCATCTATAGATTGACAAAATTCAGACCTTAATTTTCAAATTGATCATTGGTCTATTTATGTTGGCTGCTTAGACATTATAATAAAAAATATCTGCTAGAGTTAATAGCTCCCATGGCACATTATTTGAGTTTTCCTTATGACACATCACTTTCTACCTTATGTTATGGCTATTTATGTGCTTGCTTATTTTTTCCACACTAGACTGTAAGCCCCTTGAGGGCAAAGTCCATGTTTTATTTTTCGTTGTATCGCCTGCAATGCCTTACTCATAATAAGCACTAAATATTTATTGGATAAGTGAATGGAGTATAAGACCTCACTCTGTGATGAGTTTCTATGACTATTTGAATGAATTATGGCACTGGTCAAACCTCTTGAGTTTTATTTATTGCTCCCAAAATTGTTTAAATTTAATTCCCGGACTGCTCCACATCAGTAATATATGTGACAATTTTTGACTGTGTTGAATGTGTTCATTCATCCTAAACAGATAATTTAAAATTTAGAAGTACTTTTTATCTAGAATAAAAATATCGAGCAAATTCATTTTTACTAATTAGTTCATGACAGTTTATAATCCTATATTTAGATAATTTATATTTCTGTTGAATTTAAATACCTTTGTTTCCAGATGAATTGTTTTTCTTTTGGCATGAATTTCAACTAAATATTCTATTTTGTCTCATTTAACAATATGATTTTTAAAAATTAGATTTGTGTCTTTTGTGTATTTCCCTCGTCTCCTGCCCTTTGTTTTTGTACAGCTATCTCTGTTGAATAAACCAGAAATAACTAAACCAGAAACATGTCAATAAATTAATAATAAATATGCATATAAAGTATAATTTGAGAATATGAACACATTTTTGTTTAAAGGAAAGGCACTTTATAATATTTTTTATGTTACAAAGCAAATGGGATTCTGTGGAATCTTAGTTTGCTGTCAACTTTAGCAGCAGTTAGTGGTATAATTTGTGTAGTGATGCTATCTCACATAGATCATCTTTCAGACACAGGATTAAGTAGTTGTTGATGTTAGAACTTTAATTTAAGACTCCAAATATGAAACATGGAATACATTAAAAAGATGTTTAGATGCAAATATATATTAAGAACCTTAAGACACTGGCTATGTGGTGCTGACCTTTCTAGAATGCTCAGGCATCCAAAATATCTTAATACCTAGAACTTGCTAACAATGTAGTGAAGAAGGAATGTCTACCCCTGACATGTAGAACGTGTGAGCCTTAGAAAGTGAATACCAATGACTTCAAGCAAAATAATTTGACTGGCCTACAGTAGTAAAGACTGTTTCTCTTTGTGAAAGAAAAATATTTGCAAGGACTAATCAAGAAGCAATGAATAAGAGACGGTAGACATAAATCTAAAACAAACTAACAAAAAGACATGAAGAGATGAAAAGGAAAGTGACTTATAGCAAAGAGGAACACCATTGTGTCTAATGATGGCAGTTCAGCCCACAGGTGAAAGAAAGGGACAACTAAATGGGTAAACAATTACATCTTTATAAATAGCTTTTCCCTTAAGAACCTAGGATCCCTTTCCTGTGTGTTTCCATGTATGTATCTCCCCATACTAGGTGTATTTATTTAGAAGTCAAATCTATTGATGGGCCAAATAGAATACAATTGCCAATAAATGTCTGTTTCCTTACAGTGTAATGGAGTTAAGTGTCTCACAGAGGTCAAGTAAGATGTGCAGTTTAAGGATAATCTTACCAAAGCACTATAATGAATTGTTGGAATTATGGCCTCTTTTATATACTATCATCTAAAGTGAATGAGTATAATAGAAGAATAATTGAAGGATGGTGAAGATGTCTCTATGATTTATTATGTTAGTCATGTAGAAATCATAAGAAAAAATCTGGCCAGGCGTGGTGGCTCATGCCTGCAATCTCAGCACTTTGGGAGTCTGAGGCAGGTGGATCACCTGAGGTCAGGAGTTCGAGACTAGCCTGACCAAAATGGTGAAACCCTGTCCCTACTAAAAATACAAAATTAACTGGGCATGGTGGCGCATGCCTGTAATCACAGCTACTTGGGAGACTGGGACAGGAGAATCATTTGAACTTGGGAGACAGAGGTTGCAGTGAGCCAAGATCATGCCATTGCACTCCAGCCTGGGCAAGAGATTGAGACTCCGTTCTCAAAAACACAAAACAAAACAAAACAATAAAACAGAAAAAAATCTGCAAGGGGGAGGATATAGTTAGTACCAATGAAGAACATTTTTAAAACTTCTC